ATACTCTCCTGGGGGGAATCTTGTCAGCGAGACTGTATGGCTCATGTACGTCCTGTCTGTTTACTTAACGTGCCCACGGCTAAACCACTCTCGGTTTCTGTTCCCTCTGTTTATGCAGACCTTGCCTTGGTTTTTGAAAAGAGGGAGGCAGACAAGCTACCTCCACATCATGAGTATGATTGTGCCATAAACCTCTTACCGGGCACTATGCCTCCTAGGGGAAAGGTCTATCCTCTTTCTGAAAAAGAGAACCAGATCATGGAGGAGTACATACAGGAATCCCTAAGAAAAGGTTTTATTAGAAGGTCCTCCTCTCCTGCTGGTGCTGGTTTCTTTTTTGTGGCTAAGAAGGAGGGTGATTTGAGGCCATGTATAGACTACAGGGGTCTGAACAATATAACGGTTAAAAACGCCTACCCTATCCCCCTCATCACTGAGTTGTTTGATCGTGTTAAAGGTTCTAAATTTTTCACCAAATTAGACCTCAGGGGGGCTTATAACCTTGTCCGTATAAAGGAGAATGACGAGTGGAAGACAGCGTTCAACACACGCAGTGGGCATTACGAATATCTGGTCATGCCTTTTGGATTGTGTAATGCTCCTGCCGTGTTTCAGGACCTCATAAATGATGTCCTTAGGGATCTATTGCATGTCTGTGCTGTAGTGTACCTTGACGACATACTTGTGTATTCTCCTGATTTGAAGTCACACCATAACCATGTTAGGATGGTGCTCAAAAGGCTATTGCAGAACTGACTCTACTGTAAGTTAGAAAAATGTTTATTCGATCAGACCTCTGTGCAATTCCTAGGATATATCATTACTGAACAGGGTTTCAGTATGGATCCTGCTAAATTGGAAGCTATAATGTCCTGGCCACTTCCCCAAGGACTAAAGGCTATCCAGCGTTTTATAGGATTTGCCAACTATTATAGGAAATTTATAAAAAACTTTTCACCACTCATATCTCCCATAACGAAGTTGACAAAAAAAGGTCTACACCCTAGGGTTTGGACTCCTGAAGCCCTTAAGGCCTTCGAAACCCTCAAGAAGGCATTTGCCTCTGCTCCAGTGCTGCACCACCCTGATCCTTCTCTTCCCTTTGTTATGGAAGTAGACGCCTCGGAGTCAGGTGTGGGAGCCGTACTGTCACAGAGGTTGTCTTATGACAAACCCCTCCATCCCTGTTGTTATTTTTCTAAAAGGTTGTCTGATTCAGAGAAGAATTACGATGTTGGGAACAGGGAACTATTAGCTATTGTGTTAGCTTTCAAGGAATGGAGGTACTTATTAGAGGGTTCTAGACACAAAATTATGGTTATAACAGATCATAAGAATCTATCCTATATTGCTGATGCTAGAAGGTTATCTGCCCGGCAGGCTAGATGGTCTCTATTTCTCTCACGCGTCCAATATGTTATCACCCATAGACCTGGTTGCCGTAATGCCAAAGCTGACGCTATCTCTCGGCAGCATGAACCAGTAGAATTTGTTAACCCGACTCCTGAACCTATTGTACCTGCGTCTCAGATAATAGCCGCTACCCGTTTGGTTGTTTCTTCACCTTTCCTTAATAGTATTAAGCTATACCAAACCCAGGCACCCCCTGAGACGCCGGTTGGTAAACTATACGTTGAAGCTAATGACAGAAAAAAGTTGTTAACTTTATTTCACACAGCCAAAACTGCTGGTCATCCGGGGGTTACCAAAACCTACAAGGGCCTCCTTCAACAGTTCTGGTGGCCTTCACTCAAGCGAGACGTAGTGGATTTTGTTCAGGCTTGTCAGGTCTGCACGCAATGTAAGTCCCTTAATGTGAGACCCCAGGGTTTTCTGATGCCTCAATCTATACCCAAGAAACCATGGACCCACTTATCCATGGATTTCATTGTAGACCTGCCTCTTTCTGATGGTCAGACGGTGATACTGACTGTGACGGATAAGTTCTCTAAAATGGCGCACTTCATTCCGCTTAAGAAACTCCCTTCTGCGGTTCAGTTGGCTCAGGTATTTGCCAAAGAAGTGTTCCGATTGCATGGGGTACCCCAGGATATCGTATCTGACAGGGGCCCTCAATTTGTCTCTCGGTTCTGGAGGGGCTTTTGTGCTGAGATGGGGGTCTCCTTGTCGTTCTCTTCCTCCTATCACCCGCAATCTAATGGTGCGGCCGAACGTGCTAATCAGTCTGTGGAATTGTATTTGCGCTGCTTCACTAATGCGCACCAGGATGACTGGTCTCGCCTTCTTCCGTGGGCTGAATTTGCCAGGAATACGGTGTCTCATTCGTCTACTGGCTTAAGTCCTTTTGAGGTTGCTTATGGGTTTCGTCCTTCTGTCCTTCCCGGTGCGTTCTCCGACAAGGGAATGCCCGCCTTGGACCAGCACCTCGCCTCTTTGCGGAAGACGTGGGATCAGGTCCATGTTGCGCTGTCTCGGTCAGCAGCTGCTCAGAAAAAGTTTGCTGATCGCCATAGGGTTGCGGCCCCTTCTTATCTTCCGGGTGATAGGGTATGGTTGTCTTCCTGGAACCTCCGTCTCAAGGTTCCCTCGATGAAATTTGCCCCCAGGTTTCTTGGTCCCTTCAAGGTGTTACGTAGGGTTAACCCCGTTTCCTACTCCCTTGATCTGCCTCCTTCCATGCGTGTCCCGAACACGTTTCACGTCTCGCTTTTGAAGCCCTTGCTGTGTAACCGGTTCTCTCGTCCCCTCGGGCGGCCCGTTTCCCCTCGAGCTGTCTCTGACGACGTGTACGAGGTGGCTGCCCTTCTCGACTCTCGTGTTTCTAGGGGTCGGCTGCAATATTTGGTGGACTGGAAGGGGTACGGCCCTGAGGAGCGGTCCTGGGTTTCAAGCTCCGATGTGCACGCTCCCTCTTTGGTCCGCTCCTTTCATGCCCGCTTTCCTTTGAAGCCTTCCGCTTCCCGCCCCCTGGGCGGTCTTCGAGGGGGGGGTAATGTCAGGCTCCCGCGGGCGGCTGCGAAGGGAGGCTGCACTCCGCTCGCAGTACTCACCCTCCAGCCGTCCGCGGTCCCCTCCGCCTCGTGGGTACGGCGAGCGGCATCCTTCCAGCCTCGGATGCCGCCCGCCGTTCCCTCCACGTCCCCCAGCGGCAGCATGCATGACGCTGCACGCTGGGAGACCGCCCAGGTTTATACACGCCGGGGTCAGTCACCTGACCTGGCGTTAAAGGCACAGTGCCTCAATCACAGTGGGAGGTCTAAATATCTCCCACGTGTGATTGTTAATTCTGATTGGAAATTATCCAATCAGAATTAACCTGATGGTTTAAATACTTACCTTTCCTGTTCCTCCCTGCCCTGTTGTGGTCTTTGCTTGTTAGTATTGATTCTGAACTTGTGCTTCTGGTTACGTACTCTCTGGCTTGTTATCCGACTCTGTGACTTTCTCCTACCCTTTGACCTCGGCTTGTCTATCGTTATTCTGTCTTCTGGTTCCCCTTACTCGGCTTGTTTCCTGACTATTCTTTGTGTGCTTAGCCCGGCCACTCTAAGGTCCGGTACGGCACTTTGTGTGTGTGTGTGTTGGCGTGTTTGGTTCCTCGAATCGTGACACTGATGTTAGAAGAGAAGACATGGCCTCTGTTCAAGCTCACCCCAAAAGGCGTTCAGTGGGGTTGAGATCAGTGCTCTGTGTGGGACAGTCAAATTCTTCCATGCCAAACTCATCCAACCAATTCTTTTTGGACCTTGCTTTGCGCACTAGGGCACAGTCATCCTGGAATAGAAAAGGACCTTCCCCAAACTTCCAGAAAGTTGGAAGCATAGCATTGTCCAAAATGTATTGGTATGCTGAAGCATTAAGATTTCCCTTCACTGAAAGTAAGAGGCCTGGCCAACCCCTGAAAAACTGTTTAGCAATTGTAAACATTCTTCTTAAATGTTCAGATCCTGCTCAGACATGAAAACAAAAAGCCACTGGGCTTGATACAACATTATTTTCACTGGTGTTGTTTATTTTATTATTTTTTGTAAATAAGAGAACATCAAGTATATGCTTTACCTACATATAACTATGTTTTCATAACCATAAGAAGATAGCTTTGGACAAAACCACACAAGATGAAAAATGTGATAGGCTAGACAATAAAACCATTAATATTTCCCTTATCTTGGCAGCAGTGTCAGTGGCAAAGATTAGATGTAAGACTGGCACAGACGGCTGTCTTCATTGTGACTTCTGCTTCGGCCCTTATCTTCAGGCATGTACTTGAAAAGCAGAACACAGTACTATTAATTTAAATACAAATAGAGTTACTGCATTTATTTACTTGCTTTTTTGTTTGCTTATTTAGGTATGTATGTATTTATTTATGCATTCTACATGACAAACCTCAGTGCAACTTCTGTCATTGTAAGAAAAAAATGCCAACTATAGCATAAGAGGATTATAGGAAATATACATAACTTGAAAAATTACAAAATGTACAAAATGTATTCTGTATTAATGCAAAAGGAACACACATACACACAGGAACATAGGAATGTACATATGTATTTATTTACAAGCTAGGAAGGATACAACCTATTGTTCCTGTAGGTTTTCTTGTAATTGTCCTATTTATAGTTAAATCCCCCCCTCTCATAATATTGTAAAGCGCTACGGAAGCTGTTGGCGCTATGTAAATGGGAAGTGTCGTTCCATAGTTGAGATACTCTATAGGAAAATTAGAATAGAACTGCTTTCTTTTTGTATTGTGGTAGACAAAAAAAAGTGCTGGTACTGGATCCGACGTTATAGGAGGTGGGAACAGCTGGGGAGAACATTCCATTTAGGTAGGGTGGGAGCTTCCCAGAATATCTCTTAAACACAAAGGTGTAAAGATGAAGAGTACATTGGGATTCCAGTGATAGCCAGTTTAGCTATTTAACATGTCACAATGATGGGTCGTGATACATTGTAGCACAAAGCAGCGGAATGAATTATACAGTGTAGCAAGCTTATTGCGGTACTTTATTAAACACTGCAAACAAATGTATAAATTTTCTAGATCAGGAGTAGGCAACCTTTGGCACTCCACATGTTGTGGACTGCATCTCACATGTTGCTCTTACAGACATAATGCTGGCAAAGCATCAGGGGAGAAGTAGTCCATACCATCTGGAGTGCCAAAGGTTTCCTACCCCTGCTCTAGATCGAGTCTTCATCAACCTATTGTTCCTGTAACATTTTGTATTTGTCTCATTTAGAATAAGTTGGAACTAAATAAATGGCAAAAATAATGTCTTACAATATATATTAAAATATGAAAATACCAGCAAGATACATGATGTTAATGAATTTAAAATGGGGGCATAGCAGTTGGGAAGTGTAAGTCAAAAGTACACCTATCAGTCAGTATATAATCTAAGAATATGTGCAATTAAATATCAGCTGGTTAGAGCAATGGTAACATCACTGTCTTAGAACTGGGAAACTTGGTTTCAAATCCCAGTCAGACCACCTCACAAGGAAGCCTTCATAGACACGACAACTAACAATATATATCCAGCTACCTTAAATATAAATATCCCCTTTCTATAATCGTAAAGCTCTGAGGAACATGTTGGTGCTATACAGATGCTGGTAATTAATAAAATGGTCTTAACTATACTATCAAGATACTAAGAAAGATAATCCAAGCCTTTAAGGATCATGAGAACTTGGATTTGTTGCTGTGTTTATTCCCAAATCTCCCAATTGTCTCCACTGGAACTAATCTGCAGCATTTCAAGTAGCCAAAAGCATTATCTGTCTAGTTTGACTATACTGTCTCTGAAAGCTTAGTATTTGAAATATATAATCCATTTGTTTAGGTCTGTTACTTAGAACCTCTTAGTTCCTATGGAAGCAGTAAGGGTGTACTTCGTTTTTCACACATGGCTTCTCCATTTTGGTTTTATTGTTTTTTTGTTTTTTTTACAATCTTTATTGTAGTTTTTTTCATTATTCAATGATATGTAAGCAATGCAAACATCATAGTAGAAAAGCAAGAACATTGTACGGTATGGGTTCTGACTCTACATGCATATGGGGGAAGTCTCAACAATATAACAAGTATGGTAAATAGACTTGCAGTAGACAGTTCTGTAAGTTCTAAATATTGTACACATTTACTTCTCATAACTCGAACATACTGTAAATCTCAATGCTAGTATTCCTTAGTTTTATAGTTTATTGATGGAACAGTGCCAGCCACTAGCACGGTAGTACGCTTGTATAACTTGCATTATGTAAAAGGAGTAGTTATATGAGGGCATGGTGGTGGCCCACCTGACAATCTAGTTAGGTCTGAGGTATAGGACAGGTAGGCGCTGTACCTCTTTGTGAGTGTGTATCAGCTGTCTAAGGGGTAGAGTAGTCAGTTGGGTAATTGGTCATCTTGTGAGGGCACGGGACTAAAGGGTGACAGAGTGCCAAGGGGGGGTAGTGAGAGGAGAGAAGACATATCAAGTGTGAAAGAGGAAAAAAGAGAGGGGTAGGGCTGAGAGGGGAAGAGCAGGTACGCTAGTTCCTTGTGCCGTCAGCGGGCTGGAAAATTGGTTTAATTGTTGTTAAATAAATCATGACACAATGTAATCTGTCATGTGTTTTTGTTCATCTGAGGTTGTATTTACCTAATGTTGAGACCTCTATGGAACAGATTATTGTTATTATGTCCTGATATTGTAAAACCATAGAATTAAAATATGGTGTACTTTCTATTTGCCATGAATGTATGTATATGCTAGACTGCTGAGCAAGAGTGACTATATCGCCAAAAAACACAGCTTTGAGCACACTGAGCTGTATTACTAATAGGTAACCACTAGCAAAGAGCATGTGCATTGATGGATTTTAGGTTAGTCACTAAACTTCCAATAGTACCGAATGTATTTTTGTTTTTTAAAAGGAAAAAAATTGTAATTTAAAAAAAAACTATTCTCCAACCTGGCTATAGTTACAACTCGTTTAGCCTCAATGTTGCTACATACATTTCAATTCAGTATAATTAGGAAATGAACTGATAAATCATCCCCATATATTTGTTATAGCTACCTGGATGGCTGTTTGGAGTTGTTAACACTGGTCATATTGTCATATATGACAGTCGCCATGAAATAACAGAATTGGGCCTGGTTTGCACAGTATATATTGCACATGTTTGCAACAAATTATTTAAAATCATTCAAAACAAACTGTACGTTGTCAAAGTGTTACAATACATAATTGTTAAGGTCAGAACAGCTTCATTAAACTTAGAATTCCGACCACAGTTATTATCAGATATCGAGACCAATATTAGTTGTAGATTTTAATTGATTAAAATGAGAAATAAAATACCTACAGGTATTTTTCTGAAAGCATCAGTTACCATAATACATGTTTGATGACTTTCACAACACTGTATCCCAACCTAATTAGAGAGATGACAAAAAAATCTTTCCCAAAGTTTATTACACAACCTTTTGTGAATTTATTATTCAAAGAGCAACATGAATATTTTTTTCCCCCAACATAATATTACGATGAAAGTTACTTTAGTTTTTTTTCTACAATGTATATAAGTATCCGAACAAAAACCTTTAGTTTGACCCCCTCACCCTTTTACTCTAGCCTTTTAACCAAAATCGATACATCGAATTCCATAACCTATTCAATCTATACCTATCAGATTCACCTCGCTATGCTAATCCAAGTTTCATTTTTTTTTAACAATCTCTCCTCCATGATGCAGTATTTTTTATTGAAAGTCATCAAAAATGTATAACTGATGGGCACACTACATCAAGTAATTGATTCATCATACCAGGGTACTTATCAAGCTTTTATTAGACTATCTTGCTCTCTATTTATCTAGAGTAGAGATTAGTTAATTGCATTCTTCAGTTTTTGTTTGTTTTTTTTCAATATTTTACATCTATTAAATATGATGTTAGATCTTTTAGACAGAAAGCTTTCAAAAATAAAGGTAAAGGGGGTTATATGATCAAAGTGAAAGGTACATCTACAAAAATATATGTCTTAGCCAAACTGTGTCAAGAAATTATTGCAAAGGAAGACTTAAATGCATACTTTGCAAAATATTTTCTTGCTCTTCAATAAACTTTTTCTACTATATATCCTATTATTTCCTTTTATTAATTAAAAAATTAAAATAATGTATTATTACAACTACTATAACAAAATGATACTTGAAGTTCAAATAATTCAATTATGACAAAAACTAAATGTATTGAAAGTTTACAGTTGTTGATTTTTAGTTTCTATCTTCACACTTAGATAAGGCAGCTGTAATTTTAGTCAGATAGTGGCCGGTGGTATGTCTTACAGTCATATATCAGGTACAGGTATATCAGGTAAAGACTCTGCTTTAGTTGCACAACCTAAAAAAGACATATTGTCACGGCAAGGTTACATCACTCATTATTGCACTATGGAATACTGTCCCTTAATGTAAGTGTAGTGCATAGATAATCTGCTTGCCTGGTAGAAATGGAATATTGTCAATGTCAAAAGGGGTTAATTTGATGCCTTAATTCCATTTGAAGCTGGGACAAAAGGGGTAATGTAAATTGCAAAGGAGTGTGAAAGCTGCAAGGTGTGAGGTTCTACACCTGAAAAGAAAAAAGTAGGAAAGGGCTGTGCTAGGACTGTGACTTATACAGTAAAAATAGAGACCAAATGGCCTAAATAAACAGACAACGGTTTTAAATTGTGTATTTTAAACAATAAAAGCTCTTTTTGGTTACCTTTTTTTTTATATAGGACCATTCCTCTATTAATTTTATTGTATTTTATATACACTTTTACTGTTATTTTTCCTGGCATTTTTATTGTATCCTGATTCAAGAAATCCATAGGTGGGGATAATTCCACTAGCACTGTGTCAATAGAGCAGTATTTCCTGCTCTACACTTGTGAGTATATTTTATTCTATTTTATTTATTTTTTCCAACTGAGAGCACTATTGCTGTTTTTTATATATATATTGTGGAGCACGACGTAACCAAGACCGGACCTACGGACACATTTCTCCAGTATATCCCTTAGTGGGGATTATACCGCTAAACACCCTCCATCCTAGAGCTGGCCTAAGCTCCTCCAAATGTGAGTGTATCATCCTTCTTTTTACTTATCTTACCCTTGGATTTACATTATTTCACCACTGGCAGTTTGTTGTGTTTTGATTTTTTGTTTTCACATATACAGACTATTTACAACCCGGACGGATCAACTCCTGAGGATTGTATGCATACTCTATCCAGAAATTTCAGTGAGACGTTTTATTGATTTTTATTCTATTGAACATTTTACTACTTGGATGTTTTAATATACTTTTTTAGCTGTTTTAATAGAGACTCTTTTTTATCTATTGTCATGGTCTATTTATTTAGGCCATTTGGTCTCTATTTTTGCTGTATAAGTCACTGTATCCTAGCCCAGCCCTTTCCTACTTTTTTCATTTCTAGTCTTATAAGGGTCTTGAGGGATTCCCTTTCTAGGGTTGCTGCTTATACTCTTGTTACTTAGCGAAGACTCTTCCACCTTGTTTCTACAACTGAAAAGCCTGAAGGTGTGAGGTTCTACACCTGAAGTGTGAGGTTCTAAACATGAAAAGGCTTCAGGCATATGACATGTACCTCTTAATTGATGAACCAATCTCTTTGATATGTTAATGGTCATTAGCCTTGTTCCAGTATCTTATCCAAAAGGAAAAAAACATTATGATTTACCCACAGAATATTAATTAAGTCTCATTTTTGTTATATGTGGAATGTGACCAGCGCCATCCTCTAAAAAATTGTCACATTGCATACAAAAAGTAGATGAAAAAACTAATTATTTACGCAAACAACAGATAAAAACAAAAGGGATAAAATAATAGAAGTCCTAAACACTTACTCACTTAGATTTTCAAAGTAAAACTTCTATCCAGGGGGTCTCCAGCAAGGAAGATAGTGACTTACTCAAAATTAGATTTTGGCCCCAAGCAAGTACACAGACATTTCAGTATCATTGAATATATACCCTGTGGATTACCACACCTGGCCTCTTGTGTTCCAGATCAACATCAATCCAAATGGAAACATTTGGTTCTAGTTTCTCTTATGTACCTGCATCTAGGAATTTGTTATTATTTTCCCATTCTATAGATATGTCGCACACCATACTTGCA